AACAGAAGAATTTACTATATACAGTTAAAGTAAAAAAAAAAAAAAAAAAAAACTATGCTGCATCCTCTCTTCTGTTTCGGTCTGGCCACGGCACCTCATCCACATCACAAGCAATGTTTTCCCTGGCCAAGCAGCGGGGGAAATATCGCCTAGCATGGCGAATCCAGCCATGAAAAGCATCAACTGCTATATCTAACCCTAACCTGTTGCCCTTTTATGCTAAAGCTCTGATTGCTAATTGTAAAACTGTGAGACAGGTGTTTGCCCATGTGATGAGTCAGTGTGCATAGTAGGGCAATTAACTTTAGAATTTTGAATGACAGTGTGTTCTTCATGAATATTGTGCCAAATGCAGAGAATTGTGTGTAGTGTTTTGAAAAAAGTGTGTTTTAGAGCTGCAATTTGAGTGTAAAGCAGGAATTGTGCTTGTAGTTTAGCAGAATTGGTTCAGGGGGTTGGTGCATGAGTTACATGTTGTGGTCATTGTGTCTCAAGTACCAGTATTTGTGTGTAAACAATTGAGAAAAACTGTAAACTCACTTTTCCCTCAACTTTTTTCACGTCTACATCTTCTTCTACGTTTCCCAAGATGCCTGTAGACAGCACCCAGAGAACAAGCATGGGCTTGTTACATCCACCTGTTGGCTGTACTTCACTGAAATATCTCCAAACGTCCTTTGTCAGAATTATGCAAGATCAGGATTTTAGAAGACATAAATGTTCAGCAGTTCAGGTTTAAGCATGAAATCACGCGTCCAAAATTCAATCTTATAACATGTGTGCCGAGGTCTGTGTGTGTTTAAATGTTTATGTGAGTTCCTCATTGCACGTGTGTTGGTATGTGTGCCGCTGATCACTTTGAACCTCGTCTCTCTGATTCTTGGCAGGAAGTGGGCATCAGCAGCTCTTGGTCGTAAAACTGCTTTTGGTCGCTCTCCCAGAGCGCACTGGGAAGGCAGAGGACAGAGAATCTCTGTGTCACCTCGCCATGGCACGGGATGTGAGGAGATCGTTGGGAATGTCAATAATCGCTTGAACTGAGGACGAGCTGCTGCCTGCTCTCAGTGCAACACAACCACCTGAATATCAATTTAAGAGAAATTAAAATGCAATTATGGCTTATTTTCAAAATAAAGCAATAAAGCAAAGACACCTAAAAAGACGAGGCATGCCCTTTTATCAAGACAGATTTGTTGTTCCAACTCTTAGACATCTGCCAACTGAAAAATAATATACTTATATCAATATAATTAACATAACCTTTCTTTATGTTTCTTTATGTTTATGATTCTTCTTCAATAAAATATTTTAAATACAATTTCAAAAATAAACTCTGAAGGATTTTTTTCTTCACTGGTAAAAGACAACATTTTATTGATTTCCATGGAGAAAAACAGGTTTTATCTGACACTTGATCCATCTTAAAAATTGATTGAGTTGTCAAACTCGCTGTCTGTTCATTTTATCTGCTGTGGAACTTGGGGCTCAGCGTTCTCCCATCGGGGTATATTTGTAGCTACAACACAATGTTCAAAGGCCTTTGTCCCTCATCCTATTGCTGTGATCTGCGTCTCAGGGCTCGTGGACAAAAGGTGTCAAACGGAGCGTTGGACTTGGCCTGCCATGTCCTCCCGAGGCTGCTCCTAATCCTATTACTGTGGGCTGTGGAGGAGTATGGATCCTGCAGTCCCTTCATCCCAGCAACTATTAAAGTCTAAGGGGGCCCTGTGTGTTTACTCTGCATATGTGTGCGCGTCTGTGTGCGTGTTCTTGTGTGTGTAATTGTATTGTAAGCGACTTCTTATCCACGTTGTCATAATGTGTTATCCACTGATGCGGCTCATGGTTAGCCGTCTTTTTGAGTTTGCTACGGGGCAGGTGGACATTTCAATCTCTCGCTCATCGTAGTTCAGCACAACTTTAGTCGCTTGATACATCTGTGATGAAGCCTCACCTTACATTTGAACAGTATTTGATTTTAGTATTTGATTTTTATGTAGTTGGTTGCTAGATGTTTCACAGAAATAGGACATATAACAAGTCACTTCAAAAGGCCTTTTTTCAAAATCCACATCTGTATAAACTGTTTTTTCAGTAGCATTATTTAGTCTCAATTCTTACATATTTGCACTTTATCAAGATTAATTGTAAACCAAATCAGCTCTATCGTAATTTGAGAAATTGCTGTAATGAAGAAGTGGATAGTTTAGGTTAGATATCATCAAGAGGTGAGTGGAACAGCACAACTAAAACTATAGATTAAGTGACAAAATAATGTTTCATATTCTTGTTTTCTTTAATTTCACATTTTGATCACAGAGCTCTACATTTTTAATAATTATTCTTACCCAAAGTATGCAAGCATTGCAAATAGGGGATCAAATCCAACAGTGATTTGACTTGATTTTTGATTTGTTCCACAAGAATCATTTCATCATTAAACAGCATTGTAAATGTAAAATGTAAAAAGTAATTAAATGGAATCAGTCAGTAATAAATAAACACAAGTAAACCATACACGTCTATCTGTAGTGGCTCAACAGAAATAAATGTGACACTGATCAACTTGAATAAATTTTTCAGACTTTTCAAACTGATGATTTTGTCTTTTTATGTCTGGTAGAAAAGTTATAGGTAAAGATATAAGATGCAAGAAGATTCTGAAAATGTGTTTTCCCATGTTGAGAGAAATATTGATTTATTGGCCTCTTTCAGTTTGTCTTAATGTCTGTGAGCAGTTTTGAGCTTAAAACGACCGGAATGAAAAGTTGTCGAATGGCCTTTTGTTTTCTCTGGGTATCACTTATCCGGATAAAGTGCAGGCCATGGCCACACAGACAGACACACACGCACATGCAGCCGTCCACATCCTCTGAATAGTCGCATTTGCGTGTACATTGACCAGAGTCAATTGCCTGTCAAATGCTATGCGCGATTAGACACCCGTAGGTATAAGGCGAGCCTCCCAAAGCCTGGACGTTGTGGGGGCCTCATTCTGTGAACCCCATGGCCCTTCTCACTCCCCTACACCCTCTACAACCCCCCTCTGTTTTTCATCTCACCGCCCCAGTTCAATGTTAATGTCCAGTGGTGTCCACTTTTCGGACGTCTCCCTCCCAAGCAAAAACCCAGAGAAGAAAGGGCCTAAAAGAGAAAGAAAACCAAACCTTCCCTCCTTCTTTTCTCACCCTGGCCTCCTCTTGTGTGCTGTCCAGCTGGCTGTGACCCTTGACCCCCTGACCCTCACTCCTGACCCCTGGACCCGTTCCCACGCCACGCCTTTTTGTGTCCACCTCACCATAGCAACACCTTGGTCACTGCTGCTGCCACGGTAACAGATGGACAGGGGCCTGGAAATAACTTCATTCAGCTCCGCCTGGAGGGGTGAGCACCATGGACAATCTGCCCTAACTCCCCCTCCTCCCTTTCCCTGTCTCACACACATACACATACTTGAGCACACACACGCAGCGCCCCCATCCCAACTTTGACACCTCCTGTGCCACATTCTAACACCCCAATCCCCTTGGATCTATTCCCTCAGCAGGGGCCTCTGGGTATCAGGGCCTGATAGAGTCATTAACACAGCGATCCCAGATTCACCCTGGCATGTACACGGGAAATACATGGGAATAAGAATAAGTTGCCGTGTTGGCACATGAAAGCGCATAAAAAGACACCCCAAAGTCACCCACATATCCCATTTCACACTGCTGGTATTTATGGTTCGGGGCGTAGGAGAGCTAACTTCATCACCGTGCTGTAATTATCTCTCTGCTTCTTTTATTAGCCCTATTGTTTTCTCACATCCTCTGATGAGAAAAGGGGCTGGGGGGAGAGTTGTAAAGACACAGAGCTGAGCAGCGGGGGATCTGTTTGCTAACTCGGAGACAAACGACTAACTGAATAGCATCGCTGAGGAGCTCAATAAGGTGCAGCAGGAAAATGAACTGCAACAGTTTTGGTGCTAATCAGTAACTAACCTCTAAACAAGGTTGTGTGTGTTTTGTCCCCTTCTGTGGGGAACACCTCTCGGACAGACACTGTGAATAGATTAAAGGGGGATAGTGTAATTACTAGTGCTGAATGGGGGTCCGCACCGTGCAGAGGAAGAGAAGGTTTACACTGTCGAAACACACTTGTCTTTGTAAAGAGAGCTCTGATCCTCTGGGTCTCATCTTGCACTCCCCGCAGAGAGCAAACAAACAAGTAAACAAACAAAATGGCGCCCAGTGACACAACGGAGGTCTCCCATCTCATGGATATTAGGATTCAACTTTGTCTTAAGCAGTTTAAGCAGTTTAAGCAAAACTTTTATTAATTTCATTATTCAATTAAGGAAAGATGGCTTTATTGTCTTGACGTACTTTTATTGAGATTTCATGAAAATATTTACTTTAAATAAATGTGTATGTGTGTGTGTGTGTTTTTAATTAGACCAACTGGGCTGACTGGGGAGCAGTTGGCGGGGGGGGGCACCACAGGCAACCGCCAAAAGACTGACCATTGAGGCGAAATCACACAAGCGAAGCCACTTATTCAATTTTTGGGATTTCGTATCCCCCTTCCATCCCTGCATGCATCTGCATCCCACTATCTTTCCCTCTAGTTTCACTACCCCCCCTCACCCTTCCCTCCCCTCCTGTGTCCAACACCCCCTTATCCTACCCTGCCTCCCCCCTCCCCTTTCTCTCCCCCCCTCTTCCCTCTGCCTCTCGCCCAGTTCATTGTACCAAAGGAGATTTTCTCCATTGAGGCCCAGTCTCTTAGGTAACCCCAGCGCTGCATGAAATGAGGAGAGGAAGAGAGCGAGAGACAGGGAATGAGAGAAAGAGAGAGAGAGAGAGAGAGTGAAAGAGGGCGGGGAAATTGAGAGAGAGAGAGGGCGAAGGAAATGTAAAGGCGGAGGGAGGGCCGGACAGAAAGGGTTGAAGAAGGAGAGGGAGAAGGACGCAGGATCAGAGGAAGCAGAGGCGGAGAGAGTGAAAGATGGAGAAGTAGGACAAGTGCGGTCAGACGTCGACAACGATGCAGCTAAAACTCGACCCAGAACTGAGGGAGGAAGAATGAAAGGCGAGGATGTCTGTCGCACATGTAAGGATGAATCCTCTGTGGCTGAGAGGGACTTTATCACGTGCTTTTTGCAGTAATTCTTGATCCAGATTTTAGGCCCCAAAGGGTCCAAATACTGGGCACTGCTGCGCTTTTGTCTTCTTGTCTTTTTCTTGTTTTTGTTTGCTTAGAGATGATATTTATTAACTGATTTAAAGGTATTACAACCTTTTTTCACTTTTCAACAGGACAAATCTTTTTGAAATGGGATCCAATAGTCTGTGCAGTAGCAGTACCTAAAGTGTAAACCAGATGAGTTGAGCCCTTTAGGCCTCTTGTAAGACCAGCATGATCACAGCCAGTTGGGATGAAAAGGGACCTGTTATGGGGTTTTTGTCAGAAAAACTTAGCATACTATTTTAGCTTGAAATAGATAATAAAGCTGTTTTTAATACGGGTTTTAAACAGGGCTAGTAAACTTTATTGCAAAGTTTATCTATTATAAAACTTTCCAACCATGTCTCATTGGCATTCATGACTGAACATATTTACTTCCATGTTCCATCTAAAAAGCAAAGTCAAATGTCCAGTTTACTGATTATTAAAATATAAACACATACTTGTATTTAAGTATTAAGATAACAGTTAAGTCTTTTTTCTTTTTTCACTTTTTAAACTATGTGATGGACTTTTGTGTGATTTAAGTGTAAACTTTGTTCTGAACAGAGACTTTAACTGTAAGGAAAGGACCCTCTGAAACGCTGCCATCCTTTGTGGCCATGCTGCTCTGCACCTCAATGGTGGGCACGCAGCACATGGGGTTCCCATGAATAGGCCAGGCCTCACCAAAGACCACATCATTTGGATAAAGACGGGCTCCCACAGAAAGAGAAAACACCTCACAGAGCGAATCAGATAAAGATAAAATGTTGTGTACAGCAAATCAGATTAGGGCTTTACTTTTTCATTTTCAGGTTTTTTTCTCTCCCCCCCTCCACCCTCCTGCCTCCAACTCAGTTAAATTTACTACCTCTGCTCCTCATGCGTCTCATAATAATGCGCTCTACTGCTGCGCTGAGTTATCATCTCAGGCTTTTGTCTTCTTTGATCCGTGTGACCGTTGGGGGACCCACTTCTTCTTTTGTACAGGGTCACATTGCCGGCTCCTTTTGGACGGGCCTGCCCCCGGGTGGTGACCCCTTCGTTCATCATGGTGTCACCCACACAGAGGACAAGCATGAGTTAGAGCTTTCTCCCTCTCTCCTTTCTCCTCTTCCTTTCTCTTTGCCTTCCCGCTCATTCCTCTGTTCTAGTCTGACCATCCTTTCCTTCTTGTCCATCCATAGGCACTGACCTGAGGCAAGCTGGGGGTCAAATGCGATTATGAAACTGAGCTTCAGCAAATGGAGGAAGTGATATTTGGATGGAATTGCACCAATGACTTCAGTAACCTTAAGTCGACAGCCATTGAACCAGGCTATCCACCTGATCATCCATCTGCATGTGAGTGTGAACATACTGATGGCCTCGAGAAGGATGGAGGTCCGGAGCTGATTGTCCAAACGCAATTCTTGCGTCTGCCTTTGTGAAACCAGGAGTTGTGGATGGACATCACGCCCCTGACCTCTGAAAATCAGCGAGGGATCGACCACAATGGATGGTATAAAACTCAGTGGCTTTGTGGGTGGATGAGCGAGAGACACTGAAAGACAAACAGAGAGAGGGAAAGAGAGAGGGACATATTGAATAAGGGAGAGTGTGTGTTTATGTAAATGTAAAGCCTGTAAGAACCTCTCTCAACATTTTTGGAGGTCAGCTTTACTTTATTCCAAACAAAACCAGAATAGTTTCAGATTGGGCCTGTACAAGCTGTCTGCTTTAACTTGTAACAGAACATGTAAAATTAAAATTCCTGCTCTTCAGGTCAACTCAGGTGGACAGTGAAAAGCTTAGGGAAGTGTTCCTTTTACAGGCCAGTCATGGATTACAAGACAGGCTGGTGAATAATTAACATCATCATTGGTTTGAAAAGTAATGGCACCAAACAGAGACAGCAGGTGGACAGCAGCCAAAAGGGAAGTGAAGAGGAAGTCAATTAATTTATTTGGCAATTCATACAACACAAATTGCTCAATGTCCAATTCTAAAACAGAAACCTTCACATATTTCATGACTAATCAAATTTTTCCCAAAACCTAAAAGTTATTGTAAACTTTATCTTTCACACTGGTGTGAAAATGTGAGTTTCAACAAGTATTTTAATTGACTTGATGCTTAAATATCCAGAAAGGAAACGAACAAATAATCCAACTGCCAATGCCATTTATGTTTTACTTTTTTGAAAATTTCTTCTGCTCAGGTGCAAAGCCTAACACTCATTCAAGCCCGGCACAGCAGATCAGGGGTGTCCCATTTTGGAAAGGGGGTTAGAGTCTGTCTGTGGAGCAGAAAGGACTGAATAGCTCTCACCATGTTAAGTACAGTTGAATGTGTCCGGTTCGCACTTCAGCACCGGCGTCTAGAGAGGGTCTTGCTAAATTTGCAGTAGAAGGGGTGAGAGTGACAGAAAGGGAGAGTGAATGTGGGGAGGGAGGTGTGTGTGTGTGTGTGTGTGTGTGTGTGTGTGTGTGTGTGTGTGTGTGTGTGTGTGTGTGTGTGTGTGTCTGTGTGTGTACTTACCCTCTCTGTGTTTGCCCCTGTGAATTTGCCTCTGTGTGTTTTTTCCTGTGTTTGGCAAAGTTCAGGAGGCCAGACTTGGAGAAAGAAAAGGGAAAATGAGAGAAAGTAAAGGATTTGAATGAGGTTGTGAGAGAGGGAGTGAGACGGTGAGCAAGATAGAAAAAGAAGGCAAAGATCTGACTGAGAGAGAGAGGACATAGATGAGTACAAGAGGACATTTTTGGAGGGAAAAGAAGACCAGGCTCCTTGAAATTTGTGTGGCGAAATAGTCCACTGCTTCACAGCACGAGTGGCGTAAATTGGTGATATTTATAGATTGAAGCTGCAGGAAGCGACAACTCAGTCTGGGAAATACGTATAGAGAAAGAGAAAGAGTGAGGGAGAGAGAGAGCGGGAGACAGAGGGTGGGAGGGAGATCAAGAGCGAGGCTGCATTAATATGCTAATGGCCTGAGTGAATGCACAACAGGCCCACTGACCAGGCTAATCACTGGTGGACACACACTGAGGCTAATCCCTCACACAGCACTCACACACACGTAGTCACACATGCACATACAGTCCAGGTTAAAATATTTGGACAGTGACATATTTGCATGGCTTTGTCTCTGTAGTCCAGCACAATGGATTTGAAATGAAACACTGAGTATCAGGTTAAAGGGCTGACTTTCAGGTTTAATTTGTAGGTGTTTATGTTCATTTGGGATAATTAATGTATCAGTAATATCCCTTTTTATATTAAATTTTGGGGAAATTGACTGCAAAGGATTAACCACTGCAATATTAATTATGATGACTTAAAGTTCATGCAAAATGTTCAATTAATTTGGTCCCTCAAAGGCAAACAATTCAAAAACATGTAGTTTGATATGGATGCAAAATACACCTTAATTTAATATTTAGTGTGGAGGAGTACAGAGTCAAAATAATATACAAATGTGTTACTGTCCAAAGACTGAGACACATGAGGGAGAAACAGAAAACAGGGATGAAATGAAAATGAAATGCTCAACCACTGAATGCAGGCTCATAACTGTTGCATGTGTGTGTATTTTATACTTATCATGTAATGTAATGTGTGTGTCTGTGGTCATTAATATTGTTGTCATATTGCAGGTTAAAATAATAAAAAATAAACTTTCAAAAACAGTTTTGGTGTTTTGGATGGTTAAAAATGAAAAAGCTGAAACTTGCTCTATTTTTAGGAGACTTTTTTCAACCTGCAATTTTCAGCTTTTACATCCTACTGCTTAATTACTTTGCCTGTTCGTTAATGGGCCTATCATAATGTAAAAGAAAAAAACCTTACGAGGTAAATTCCACAATCTGTTATCTTAATCAGTGAATCAACTTAAACAACAATCTAACATAAAATAAAAGTGGACAATTAATTACATATCTCTAGAAACGGCTGATGTAAAAAGTTTTATTTGGAAAGTAGTGGACTGAATGCAAAGTTAAATATCTTTAACAATTGTGTATGGTTACTTAGATAGGAATTAGATAGGAAAAACAAATTAGGGTCTATGAGGTTTATGTAATGCCATTTTAGCCCCCTTGAGGGTGATAAAGCATCAAAAAACCTGCGCGGTTCAACCACAGGAGGTGGAAAGGAACAACCCCCTAATCATGAAAGATGTTATGGTCAAAATACTTTTTTCCCCCAACTAACTAGGTTAGTAACACAGAATTATATTGTAATACCTCATTGCAAATTGTTTCTGTATCAATACAAACAAAAAACGCTCAAGGTAGTGGGTGTGCAACTGGAATTCATTGAGAACAAACTGCTGGCTCATGATACAAAGCTTATCGCTCTTAACAGTAGTTAAAGCTTTTATTAATTTTTAAGTTGAATATTAGTTTTCATATCAACTGGTGATGCAAGAAGGACTTGACTATATTCTTATGTTTTTGATTATTACTATACTCCTCATTGGTGATGAAAATGCTCGTTGTCTAACCCTCCTGATAAGGGAAGCAACACAATTGCAATTCATATAAAGTTGCAAAATAATGAGTAATAATATTAAATATTTGGATAAACTAAACAGTAGAAAAAACAAGACAGTCCATAGCAAGAAGAGAGAGATGGATAACATTGTGTTGATTCTTTGATAAAAACTTAAACAATAAAGTTTTTTAGGTTTTCTTCCCTTTTCCATATCTCTGGGGAATCTTTTATTTTACAGGTGCTCTCATAGAAACTGGTGCATTATCTGTCATAACTCTTAATCTACTGTTCGGGTGGCACAACATGATGTATGATATAGTATTTCTGGTCCCATGCACACAGCTGAATATGTTGTGCTATATTGCCAGTATCCTTACATTGAATGCATCATATATCATTATGCACATATTTGAGTGTGATTTTTTTTGTAAAATGTGAAGATATTTTTCAAGGTGTTACAAGATAAATACAGTGACCTACGAACCATCGACTGTCAGCCTGAAACTCCTGATGGACTGTCATATTATGGCACAAAACAATCCCCATACAATAACCCGATATAACACTAAAACATCCACTGTACCTACAAATTACATTTAACATGCATATGTCATCATCATCATTGTCACATGATAATCTAAACACCTTGTTTATACTGCATAGACACGTAAAATACACAACCACCTACTTCATGTATAAAAAGTAATCTATTACATGAATCATTCAATAGCTGTACTATATAATATATCTATACTCTGTACTCTTCATGTTTACAACTTACAGAAACAGTTTGACTTGTAGAGATTGTATGTTGTTGTTCATTATTGCTTATTACACATCTATATTTCCCCCTACCTGTATATAAATAATAGGGCTGGGTTTATTCTGAAAATTGATAGCAGTGAAAAAACCTGCAAACACATTCCTTGTGAGCCAATACTTGGCCAATAAAAGTTGATTCTGATTCCCACATGTTGCTTTTGCTTGATATTGCCACAAAGAAAGAACATGCTCTTACCTTTTGCAGTTACAAGTCTGGACTATCATAAAAAATAAAAAAAAACACCACATATGATAATAAAGTGAAGAGATCATATTTGCAGGATTGAAACACTGATATGTTTTCCGATGCAGCAGGTCCACCAAATGCACCAGTGCCCACCAAATGCACCAGTGCCCGACAATAACCTTCTCAGCAATTGACATACTGAGCTGAACTTGTCTTGACCTCCTGACCTCCTGCACTGGCTGCCTCTCTCTCACTCAGTGACATGTGAGGCGCAACATAACCACACAACCCTTCTCCTGCCCTGAGAAAGTCAGGCTGCAGTGTGTTGCAGGGGTTTCCGAGCCAATGTGCAACTGTAAGGGAGCACTAAGCCAAATCCTCCACCATCATCATGTTTTCATCCTTGCAGGGGGAGGGAGGGTTGACTACGAGGCAAAGTGGGGGGAGAAACAGACACACACGGGGCCTAGTCGCCACATCTTTCATGCGAAGAAGCTGTGCCGCTAAACCGTCAGTAATCCGTATTTATCTGTACTGAATATATATGTGTATAACTGTTAGCTAGTGTGTGACATGGAGAACCAGATAGAGGTGGAACAACCAGTCCTAAACTGGTTTGTTTTTGTTCTCTGGCTCTCCTGCGATGCTTTTGGGGCTAACTAGCTTGCCAGCTAGGTGATGTGGCTAAACGTAGTTAGCTGTAGGGTTGATCTTGTTTTTGCCAGCCTGACATTGCATGATTTCAACAACGTGAAATACCCGCACTCTTTTAATGCATTGATGAGATATGCGATAAAGGCTTCATATTAAAAGGAGGCTCCTCGGTAGCAACGTTAGCTGGCTAGTTTACGAGCTATGCGATGGCTAACGTTAGCGGTGGTTTGTTGCCATTTGTCTGGTCTCTCTATCTCTATCTATCTCTCTATCTATCTATCTCTCTATCTCTATATATATACTGGAATAAGACGCTTTCTTCACTCCGTTAAACCAGCATTATATAACCTGTGTTTGGTATCGATATAGTGTTTATTAGACAGGCTAACGTCAGTGTGTTTGCTCAGACCTGGCATCAGCTGAGCAGCTGTAACGTGACATTAAAATGACCATAAATCCATCAGATACACAGATTTCTATTAAAAAGCACACACACAGCTCATAACCTCTTCCATGGGCTTTAAACGTATTCGTTTTATTTTACACCGTCGTGACTAAATGGGCTTTCTCTGTGTCACACAGTTCATCTAATGCGGAGCTCTTCTTGTGTTGGAATTTCAGACCCGTTTTTGGTTTCCCAAAACAACTCCGGCCCGGGCCTCAGTCCGCGGTCTAGAGTTTGATAGCGGGCTGTTTGGGACGGAAGCACATCGGTGTGTTGCTGCCAGCCAGCCCCGGTGACCCAACCACCATCATGGGAGACAGTAGAGGTGAGAAAATAACTGCACGGATTTTGTGATCAGCAGTGAAACAACATGAATGTCTAACAAACGTTGCACCTTTTAAACTGATGTTGATATTTGTTGATACAACTTTATACTTATTACTCAGTTCAGGCCTATGAAAGGTATATGATGAAATAAAGAGTGTTTAAGTCTTTTAGTACAGGTGTTATAGCTGACGTATAACCCCCTGTCTTCCAGAGCATACAATCATTTGCACTAAGTCAGAGTCAGTCAACCAAGTTACCCCCCCACCATCCGGCTAAAGCAAAGTGTATTTTAATATTTTATTTAAATTTTGATGATTTGAAATGCAGTTTCTTATGTGTGTTATCATTGTCCCCTTTCAGCATGGCAGGTGTATTGTAATATACAGCTTATACTACAATAGATTTAAATGGTGCCCCATTAAAAAAAAGAGAAACACCCCAATTCTATATTTTATTTAAAACACAGTAACACCTTAATCTAACTGTTTGTTACTGTGACTGTCTTAAGGACGTTTGCTACCAAAACGTGCTCTAAGGATGATATGGAGTTCACTGTTTGGCCTGGTGTTTATTTATCTTCTTGACCCAAAACACCTACAGTAACATGAGAGCAATGTAGCAACGGTGCACCAGTAGACTTTGAACCTTTATTCCTACTACCCCAGGAAAATTGGTGCCATACTCGACTTGTTCAGCTACCCAAGAGTCTCTACACACACACCTTACTGTGTATGTTAAAGTCAGTATTCCTTGTGTTGTGCTTATTAAAAAAAAACAGAGGTGGAGTTGTACCACTGTCAGATATCGATTTATAAGGAGAAATGTGCGAATTAAAATAGTATTTATAGACATTTTAAGTTCAAGACTATTATTTAATCTTTCAATAAATCTGAAGCAAGAAGGGACAAAAGTCCCACCAGATTCAGATCACAGAGCCATGAAATATTTTCATATAACTGAAATAAAGTTCATCCTCTTCAGTCACCTAAATCTCAGGTAAACATCATGTCAGGTGCTGTGTGAAAACTGATAATAAATCCTGAGAAATGTAGATAATCCCTCTGCTGTTGCATTTTCACTAGGCACACCATGAGGATGTAATGAGTGTGTTTAATGTGTACCAATATTTTCATTAACCTCACTAGAGGTGAGACAGCGGTACAGTTAAGTTGTCAGTTACCGTTACCATACCGTTTTTTATTGTTTTCATGTAAAATGCATTAAAATTGGCGCAAACCTGCGATATTTGATTTACGTCACAAGAAATTGACCCCATTGGCCAAGAGGGACCTGATGATCCACAGTTTCTTTTGTTAAAAATTAAACACAAAAAGAACAGGAAAGCAGCAAGGCTAGCAACTGGCTGTATATCCACTTTAATCTGTTCCAGGCCATTATTATTGTACCATTTGTAACTACCATATTTGTCTTTAACTGTGAGAATAAAGTAAAACAATCCTGCTAAAAACACACCTATATCACTTCTATTAATAAGCTCAGCCTTTTTTATAATAATGACTACATGAGTTATTTTCATATTCTCCCTCTTGCTATCTCTCATCAGATTCCCGCAGCCCAGACAGCTCGTCTGTGTCCTCCCCACCATCGGGCCAGCGCTCGCCTCCGCTGGTTCCCTCAGCTGCAGCTTCCATGACCTCCCTGCCTCCCATCACCACCTCCGGAGTCAACAGCCCCATCAGTAGCATCGGCTCCCCCTTTTCCGTCATCAGTTCTTCGCTGGGCTCGCCATGCCTACCTGG